ATCTGCTCCTCATACGCTCACATTTTAGTGCAAACAGGCCTCGAGTTTCCGCGGAACAATATACAGCGTGATCTAAGCGTCATAGAACACCTACATTATAGAGATATGCAGATTTTGCTCTTCTATTGTGTTTGCTTTTACTTTTTTTACAGCTATATATGTCAATTTATGCATGCAGTAAATAATTCTATTTCGTCCCTTGTGCTCAAGCAGGAAGCATGGTGAGTTTGGCAAATACAGGCATACAAATAGAAAAAGCCTTCTAAACTTGTAAGCAAAGCTTACAAGTTTAGAGGATTAAAATCAGAAGCTGAAGCCTCGAGGAGGGGGCGAGCTGGAGTTGAAACCCGTGAAGATTAAGGACTTCTGAATGGCGTCCTTCGCAGAGATAAAAAGGCAACTGAACTGCATAGTGATAGAAAAAAAACACGTTTCTCGCTCCGTCTTCAGCAGCAGAGAAATACTATGACTATATGACTATTGTGGCTCTTGCAGAGCGTATTCCCCCGTAACGTAACAACGTGTGCTAAACATAGATGGCTGGTTCTACATCATGCCCTGAGGAGACATACCCCTAGACATTTACTCCGTAGTTTCTTGTTGAAGAGCTAGCTCTTCATAGATTGTCGCAGGTGCTAAGCTACCGTACCAAAAACTGTGGAAGGCTTGCGCACGTAACTCAGCTGTGGTTGCCAACACTCTTGTCATAGTAAATCTGATTAAAAATCTGTTAAAGAGAAATCTTACGGTATTACGGAAAATGGCCTCGGATCTGAAACGGTCCAGGTAATAACCCCCAGTCATCGATCAACGGGGTAGCGGGCCCTACGCCCTCTTATTCCGTGAGCTGACTTGTGAGGCTTCCAAATGTGTTCCATCTCCAGGCTAAACTGCTTCGTATAAAGATGTTCACTGGGGCTTTTTTATATAGATCTGCAGTTTCTCACTGCGTAGCTGTCTGACAAGCCAAAGGTACTCATGTGACTTGAACGATATTGTTTCGACTTTGCCAGCTGCTGCAACACCGTAGAGCAGCATGTGCTTTTCTTTTCTAATTTGCAGTTTTAATTGGTTTCGGCATGGCCTGTCCAGAGATTTTTATTTTATTCGCCCAATGGGCTATGGTCTCCGCACCAGCCACGGTGGGATCTGGATGTTTTCGCGTTAAGCAGCATAACAGTTCTACCTGGTAAGCAGGCTTGATGCTTTGTCACTACAAAGCCTGCATGCGTTATATTTTGGCCTTCGCCCTTTCATGTGAATGGTTCCACATACGGATTGGAGGAGCAGCTGAGCAGGACATAGTCGCGCCCCCCTGGCAGACTTCAAACTCAGCTCCTCAGTGAGACTGCGGGACGCGGAGGAAGTACAATGGCACTCGCTAACATGCCGCAGGAACAGGACCTGCAAGTAATCCAGGACAGTACGGCAAATAGTGAGGAAAATGCAGGTCGGCAGAGTGTCAAGGAAGAGGAATTTGATGACGCTCCCACGCACCTCCCACATTCCGGAACACCACGAGGGCCAAAATATAAACCAGGTCTTTATGTAATTCTTGTCACGTTGCTAGTGGCTGGCTTGATTGCCTGCAGGACAGTGAGTACTAGTGCAGCAAGGCACATTACATCTCGCACAGAGAACGACGGTATATCAGGAGCGCGCGTTAAAGAGAGGCACTTGAGAGAAAATGCCAGAAGCCAGTTTGAAGAAGGTGATAGGGAACAAAGACGATCTTCGTCGACAGGAAAACAAACAGACGGAGATGCAACAGCTGAAGAGGAAGGTGTCCATCTGCGTGGCGCAGTGGAGGACCTCAGAAAGTCCCGTCCACCAGAAGTTGCTATTATGGAAGGCAAACTGGAAAAGTCGCGAAAGCTTTTGAGCGCGGCAGATCGCCTCGCATTTTTAGTAACGGCGCCTCAGGCCAAAGAACTGATAGGAGATGCACATGAACACGTGGAGGAGGCACGCTTGCAGTTTACAAATTCAGGAAACATAATTGCCAGCGAAGAGCAACTCCTGCTCGCAGTACAGGATGTGCGTAAATTGCACCTTGCCGCGATTGCGCAGTGTGACGCTCTCGTGAACAAGGTTGACATGACCGAATTTTTCCCAATGGCAGGCCTGGAAACTGGAGGAGACGAGGCTCCATTGGAAGCCGGCAAACTAAACCCCGAAGACACAGTTCAAAGTATGATGATCACATTCTATGAAATCAAGGATGTCTACTTCGGAATGATCGAACAGTTTCAGGGAGTCGGTCGAGCACCGTTGAACAGCAAGCCATTTGAGAATGAAGAAGATATCAACGTGCTGACTGACATTTCAGAAGACCTTCGTTTCCTGTGGAATGCAGTAGCTTCTCAACAAAACCTCGTGTGGCTTGCAAACGAGTTCAGAAATCGCATTTTCATCGGTTTGAAAGAGCACATGCTAAGTGTTTCCAAAACGCTCCTCGCGTTTTCAGAATCGCGTCTCAAGCACTCGCAAATCACAATTAAGCTAGCAAGAAAAGCACACAAACCCAAGGGATATGCATCAAAAGCATACGAACTCAAATTTGCGGAGAAGAAACTTGCGGAGGCAGAAAATGTGCTGAATGCGCTGCGAGAACGGATTAAGGAACTAGAAGCAACTACAAAATGGGAGGATATGTCTGAGGATACTAAGGTTGTGCTGCTGCAGGAGGCTGAACAGGCCAAGAAGCTAATGCTTGCCCTGCATAAACCTGTATTGGAAGTTCCTCCAATACCGAATGACTTGAAGTTGCAGAGGGAGGAGCTAATTGTAGATGAAGCTGAGGGCGTTCATAATGCCTGCCTTGCGGAGAGTCATGCTGTGCGTGAGCTTTTGAAGGATGCGAAAGCGAGGCTTGAAGCATGGCTAGAGGGTGCTTACAGTGAAGGGATGGACGACACAATTCAACTTAGTGAAGACGTTTACTCTGAGCTGTTGTCCAAAATCAAGCAAATACGCGAGCAAGCGAAGCAGGAGGTGGATGCAGCCGCGCAGTCACTCGTACAAGCGAAGGAAGCGCTGGGCTCAGCAGTTGCTGCTGACCCTCTCAGAGCACAGACGGAACGTTTGGTCAATTTAATAAGTATACGGGAGAAGGCACGCCAACTTGCGCTCGAAAGCGAACGACTAGAGCTGTCCGAACTAGAATTTGCTTCGCTGCAACGCGTAGCTGCTGACGCCAAAATCTACAGATTCCGTGAATCATCTGCAGCCAAGGAACATATAATTACCGACACAAAGAAATACGAAGAAGCGAAACGGGCCGTCGTGCAGTCTGAAACTGTAGTAGAAATGCAGGCAGCTATGAACAGGCTGAGACGGTCAGTGGCGGCAATGAACCGGAACATCGCGAATGACAGAATGAAGAAGGAATCGTAGGCCGACAACTTCGTCGTGGACGGGTTTATTTGTTCCCTTTTGATGGTAAAATCTGTTGATGTTTACCTTTTCTGCTAGGAACACAAACCTGCAGCCATGTGTCTGCGCATTTCAATGCAGTTCGTAGCGGCCATACAGCACTACTGACATGCCGATTTTTTTTTTTCCAAGCGCATGCAAGGCGTGGCCTTGCAGCGCTATTTAGAGGAATTCGGCAGTGAGCTCCTAAACACCAACGGAGAGCTCCTATGGTTTGAATACCATAATGCTAGTAAAGAGATTTCGCAGCTCTTGCGCTTTTTATTCCTGAGCAGTACTTGTACCGGACTTCGTCCGCTGCAACAGAGTTTCCTTGCATTTGTTCCTCCATAGGCACAAGCTCGAGAATAGCAGTTGCCCCTGACCACAACCCAGACACTCTACATTTCAATAGTAGCTCGAAAATTAACCCACCAGATCGCCCGTCTCTAGAAAGACAAGCAACAAAAGTTCCCAGGAGACAACAAGGCTCGTTAAGTATTTGAGCCAGTGTGGATAAATGCGTCTTGCATATGGCAGCCTTGGTCATCCAGCCCCCGGTGGTCAAAAGGTTCTGTAGTGGGGTCTGGATACATTTTTGCTGTCAGTGTTTACTCTCTGCTGATTTCGACACGTGTACAGAAGTCACAGGACCTCAGTTGACGTCATTTGCAGCCCGCGCTTGTGGCCTCACAGTGGATTTCCACATCGCCCACATGCACACTCCATCTGCTCACGTGCATACTAAATCTTCTTGCTATTCCACAAGCCTGCCCCCGGCTGCGTCGGAGTAGACTGAGGGCAGCTTCGTAGAACTACCGTGATGTGTGATTCCACATCACTACCGTGATATGGAATCACACATCACGGTAGTTCTACAATTAAGCCACGTTCGGAGGCACTGCGGGCTCTGCTGTAGCGTGGTCAATGCTCAAGACGCTGCTTCTGGTTGAAAAGAAAGTTTGATGCTTCCGAACTCCATCTTCAGCGTGAGGCATAAATTAAGATTCGTTACTTTAGAATAGTCGTAGTTACTTTCAGAGAAACACCATTAGCTTGGCACCACTTTAAGTGGTACCACTAATTGACAACAGACGACAAGTGAGGAGCAACAACAATCAAAAGCCATTTTAAACGAAACTTAACAGATGCGAAGCGCTCCCCATTTGAACCAGCGGCTCTCTATCAATGAGCTGGCGGCTCTCTATCAATGAGCTGGCCTGCGCCAGTTCGGCTGCCAGCTATCAGTGGCAGATTGACTTCCAATGTAACGCCCTTAAGCCCCAGTTGAGCAACATGGAGGCACCAAAATATAGATCTTGTAGTAATTCAGGCTGCAGTCGCAACGGAGCGAACCGAGTCTTCAGCTGCTGCTGGGCTAGCAACGTTCGCGAATGGTACAGAGCTTCGTGGAAAAAAATGTTTCGATTTCTCAGGCCAAAGGCCTTCAATCAACAGGAAGCTTGCGCCTCAGCGGGGCGCAGAAGCTTCAAGGGAACAAGCTTAGACTCCATAAACCTAAAATCTCGACTGCTGACCCCTTGAGCCTATGCTGCATTCCTGAAACCCTAGGGCTGTTGTGTCTCTTATATGCGTTTAGGTTCGCAGTAAGCATTGACCAGCGTAGCTGCTGTAGCATCAATGTCAGCCATGAGAGGCTTCATAGCTTGTTTCGGGTGGAGGGGAAAAAGAGAAAAGCGAACAGGCGTAAGATCGGCTGCTGCCATCCCCTTGTTGCTGCGGGTCGAGTTTTTCCCTCTGTTTCCCTTGTGCTGCTTCTGGAGGTGCTGCTTCTCAAGCTGCTGCAGTATCCGTAGAGCCCTTGCTTCAGCCAATACGTAACACACCAAAGCGCCCGAGTATGCCCTGAAAGAGAAACACGCCAGCGGATGTTCAACGTGTAAGGTGTAAAAACATTTGAAATGTTTACCACAAGCGCAGCAAATTCTGTACTTTAAACTATTATCAATCCATAAGCTTCAGTGAACATCGAAAGTCTCAGGAGCACGCCCAAGAAGACACATCTCCATGTTGAAAGTTTAATGCCCAACGCTGCTCATCTTATGAGCTGACTCTGCGGGTTTCGAAATACGGCCAACATCTAATTTATAGACTTTACCCTTCCATCTGTCGAAGGTAATTTAGCGAGAGAACAGGAAATGAGTCTTCAACTCTGTAGGGAGCCACGCTGTGCATTTGGAGACACACACAACGGCGCAAGTACACATGGGCAGGTAAAAGGGCAGAAACAGTGGAGCTCAAGAGGGCGAAGAAATGCAAAGAAGAAAACAACGCGAAAATAGGACAAGCAACGGGCACGCAAACAGGCCTTGAATGCTTGATCACACTACCCATACAGCAACAGCTGCAGCAACACAACTAAATTACGCTTACCAACAGCAGCAACAACAGCGGCAACGTAAAAAGAAAACCCACAGGAGCAGCAGAATCAACGGACAGGGCAAAAGTAACGCTAACAGCAAACGCCTACGCTTCAATAGCAGCTTTGATAGTGCGCTCTAGGGTATCTGTAGTTGCTGTTGCTGCGTCCAATGTATGGACAGCATAGTCAACTGCAGCAGCGACAAAAAGAGAATTGGGATGCAGTAAATCCAATAGGTCGAAGCCCAAGTTCCTACGTGCACGCGAACAAACGGCACATATGGCACACGACTGCTGCTGCTGCTGCTGGTCAAAATGTTGCTGCCAATGGCATGGCTGCTGCAGCCAATGTTTTCACTGAGGAAGCTGTTAACGCTGCCGCTTGTTGCGTTGTGTGAGCTGTGGGCCAACTTTGGTGGCGGCGTTGGCTGTCTCTGTACTCCACGGTATTTTGCCTTCATTTTCTTCTTTTTCGTTTTGAACCTAGTGTTTTATCTTTACGCCAATTCGTCCCAAGTTAGACAGTTCAGTGGTTGAGTCGCATGAATCTCAAGCTATTGAAGTTAGTCTGCTGCTCGGGTTTATTTTAACTCACGATGCATGCGCTAGGGTTAGGGGGCTGTTCTTGTCTTTGTGCTTCGACAAGCTCATCAAGAATTCTGGTTGCCGCAGTATGTGCCTAACACAGAATGCAGAGCAGCGCAGTAAACCAGCTAGCTAGCGACTTAGCTAGCCAGCTGAATAGGCACTCTCACTGCGCTGGAGCTAGCAGTTGGTGCTGGACAGTTGGGGCTAATAGCTAACTAGCGTGCCTAGCTAATTGCAGCTGCTAGCTAGCTACTGCGGCTAGCTTCCTTATTTGGCTAGGCTGCGGTTACAGGCATTCAGCTATTGTGGCTAGCCAGCTAGCCAGCTACGTAGCTTTTGGTCGAACTGCCTTACTCGTTGAGGAGAGCAAACGTTTCGTCGAAGTCGAGTGGCCGCTCCTTGACAAACGCGTCCTGCAGAATGCATTTGCAAATAACAACAGGGAACAGAATATAAGCGTAGCAACATTTCGAAGTAAAACAGATGAAAAAAGCCGAGACGCAGTCCTTATACTGAGACTTGTGCTTCAGATCTCAAACCCCCCAGCGCAGCGCTCCGGCTGCAGGCCCTACTACACTTTCGCAAACCATTATCTTACGGCGTCTTCTTGCAGCATTTCCTTAAAGGCGTGGCCCAGCTCGTGGGCCAACACCTTCAGCTGCGCAAACAGGAAGCGCCCAAAGTAAAAACGAAAAACCCTAAACCACACTTCTACGCGATACAGGCGTTTCTGTTGCCTGAGTCCTCTCACCAAGACCCCCCGTGACTCCCAAGCCCCACATTTTAGGTCTTAGATCTTAAGCTGTGAACCTCACTTCTTGCAGGTCCAGTAACCTCGCTTGCATGTGTTTGGGTGGAGGCAGTTGCGCATGCACAGCGTGGTGGAGAGCCCCCAGTTTGATATGGCAGGGGAAGGAGGGTGGCCTTGGGGGCTGCAGGTAGTGTGACAGACGCAGCGGAAAAAATGGGTGGTAATACAGAAAACCCAAAAAGCGGCATTTAGATAGACTGGAAGCAGGAGCTGTAGGTACACCCCAAGCCCCTGACTCGGAAAGCGGGGTGTAGGCACTCAGCTGAGCACACAGAGAGCCAAATAAGTCCTTTGGCGGATGGCTAGCTGAGCTAGCCACGCCAGCCTGGCCACTTGGGATATCTGAGAGAGTATCCCCAGCACGGCTAGCCGGGCCAGCTAGGGGAGGGTGGCTATCTCCGGAGGCGTGGCTAGCTGAGCTAGCCGGGGCTTGGCTAGCTGAGCTAGCCACGGCTTGGCTAGCTGCAGACTGCCGAGGCTGGGAGTGGGCTGAAGTGTCATAAACGGCAAAAACTTCGCCCAAGTATGAAAAGCCGTTGAATGACCTGGACACAGACCGTAGGCCGCCACGCGCAAGCCTCACGCTGTTAGCTCTAAACCCTAAACCCTAAACCGTAAACCCTGAACCATAGAGTCTGAACCCGCCACCCCTTGAGCCGGCCCAAAGCTCTTACTCATAACCTTAATATCTAATGCCACAGCCCTCGTCGTGTTCACACTTGTGCAAGTCCAAACTGTTAACACTTACTTCCCCTTATACTTCAAAAAAGGGTTTAGGGTTTAGTGCCTTGCTCGCCTGCCGTATCCTCTCCACTGTTTCTTCAGCAGCGGCTCCAGCCTAAGGCCCAGAGCAGCAGCTAGCTGGTGCGGCAGCTGGCTAGCTGAAAGAGACTCAGGGAACCAAGCAGCAGCTTCCAAGTCGCTTGCGCCCCGCCCATAGGCCTGGGCGCAAACCCTAAACCCTAAACCCTAAGCCCTAAACGCTAAACCCTTAGCTCTAAACGCTAGTCCCTGAAGACTACACAACAGGCGACAACGCAGGCAGTCTGGGACGCAGCTTCCGTACCCTCAGAGCTGCTGCTAACCACTGGTCAACCGTGGGACGCCACTGCTGCAATCTTGGCTGCTGCTCCCGCTGCTGTTGCTGCTGTTGCTGCTGCTGCCGCAGAGCGTTTCTCAGCTGCTGGGGAGCCCTTTGTTCTGCAGCAAGGCCAATAGACCGCAGCAGCAGCGGCACTTGCCTCCAGTAGTGGCCCTCTGCTGTTTGTCTTTTGATGCGCAGTTCCGCCCAGCAAGAGTAGCCGCAGCTAGCTGCAATTTGCTGCCTCTGCTGCAGCAGCAGCAGCAGCTGCTGCAGCAGCTGCTGCTGCTGCGGCCGGTGCGCCTCGTTCCTCAGCCGCGCCCACTGCGTCACCAAGTCTTTGCCTGCAGCCTTTTCTGAACTGAGGGCTTGGGCTGAGGGTTTAGGGTTTGGGCTTTGGGGGGAAGAGGGTTTAGGGTTTAGGGTTTGCAGCAGCGCCAAAACAGTCTCATAGTTCGAACCCTCATAAGGCACATGAAGAGCTCCCCTGCTGTCCGTCTTGTACAGCTGCTGCAGCAGCTTAGCGCCGGAGCCCACCAGGCAGGCAGCAGCAACAACCAACTCCCTGCATGCAGCAGCAGCAGCAGCAAAATCCCTGCATGCAGCAGCAACAACCAACTTCCCGCATGCAGCAGCAACAGCCAACTCCTTTCACGCAGCAGCAACAAAATGCGTGCATGCAGCAGCAACAGAAAAATCCCTGCATGCAGCAGCAACAATAAATTCCCTGCATGCAGCAGCAGAGCAGCAGCCGCAGTTCCTGGGGCCCCCGCCCTTTGGGGGAGCCTGGCGCGAGGCAGAGGCTGGCACCCTGGTGCCCGCTTCCCTTAGGTTCCAGGGTTTAGGGTTTAGGGTTTAGGGTTTACGGTCTTGTGGTAGCTTTCGCGACGGCGCGACAAAAGCGGGAACTCGTTTCGTCCACCAGCCGTTGCTGCTCCAAGGTAAGGCCCCGGCAAGCAGCAGCAGCTTCTTCTCCCTCAAGCTTCTCATGCTGCTGCTGCTGTTTCTGCTGCTGCTGTTGCTGCTGCTGCCGCTGCTGCAAGAGAAGGCTGTCTATGAGCGCCTCCAGGGGTCTTATTGCGAAATGCGAAGTTAAGAAAGACGGCTTGACGAAGCAGCAGTAATTCAGCTGCTGCTGCAGCTGGCAAGTCCGGTCTATCAGGTATGCCAGATACCGCTGCTGCTCCTGCTGCTCGTGCTGCTGCTGCTGCTGCTGCTGCTGCTGTAGACCACGGCGCACTGCAGCACGGAGGGTCCTGGAGGCTCTCACTGCAGCAATCCAGTTAAAATCGTAGGGGAACAAAGGGCCTTCATGGAAAACTTGCTGCCTCTGCGAAATGGCAGCTGCCGCGGCTACAGCTGATGGTGTTTGCAGCTCCCGCTGCTTCTGCTGCTGCTGCTGCGCTGCAGCAAATTGCTGCGGCGTCTGCACAGAGCACACAAGGGTCTGGCGGCCTCTACACAGGCCCCATAAGCCGTGAAGGGCTAAGTAAAAGTGCTCCCGTGCGGCCATCACTGCTGCAGTTGCTGCTGGAGAGCTAAATGCCCGTGAAAGCCGTCCATAGTCAGGGCGGCAGCGGCAGCAGCTGCCGCGGCCTCGCTGGTACTTATTTTGACTATGTCCTGGAAGTCAAAAAGAGAAGATGAGCTCAACAAAACGGTGGGAAAGGCTCCTGGTGCCCCCAAGGCCAGCAGTGGTGGCCCCTGGATGCCTTCGAAAGAGCAGCAGCATACGATTATGGCATTGCTGGGAGGGGTAAGGAGCTGCAAATAGCCCCGGATCAGAGTGACTACAAGATATATATGGTATTTAATTGAATAATTTAGCCTAATTTTTAAGACCTGCTCTAAAACGGCGAACATACCCCCTGTTCTAAGTAGGGGCTCCAGCCGTTCCTGTTGGGGCTCGGGCTGCTGCTGTTAGCTTTGTCTCGAGTTGGTAGCAACTTTAATACTTTTCTCATTCAATGATTTCTCATGTTTTTTGGAAGGATTAAAATGCATGGCGTAAGGTCCAGTGTGTGCAGCCGTGGTTCAGTTTGCACGGCTCGCCAGCAGCGCCGATACGAAATGCATCTTTTTCATTCATGTTTCCCACGGACTTCTTGCGACATTACAATCACAATAAAACTCAATTAGCGCCAGGAACGTTCTTTTTCAGTTCTTCTACTATTCCATGCGGTGTTTTCCTCAGATCACTGCAGTTACAGGTTACAGAAGAATTAAATCGCCGCATGAACCCGTCTCACTTATACAACTGTGTATCCCTGTTTCACTTCCCGAAAAAACATTCAAATTACCTGCAAGGCTTTGGTGGAAAGCCTACATGCTTTGCAAGTCTCGCCTTTAGAGTGCTGCCCCCGCTGCATTCTTGGCTCTTGCACATGTTTGCAATTAGCTGAAACCTGTCTGAGTTCTACTCAGAGTTTTGGCCTTCGTGTTGTCTCTGTAGCCAATTAGTTGAATTGCTTTTAATGCTTTAGTCCTACTGACACGTGTAGGTGGTTTGTTTGGTCACTACTCTACTCTTTTATAGTGCATTTTCCGAATTAACTTCATTTGGGTCATTTGACAAGCTGGATTTAGCAGTTCCTGTGGGCAAGTCTTTTATCCTTAATCTGCAGCTGCCTATATTTTCACAAAATCATTTCTATTACTTAGCCGCTTGCGCCACTTATCGCTGCTTCAATAATTGCAACAAATTGCCCTGCTGAAAGTCATTCAGTTCTTACAGGCTTGTAATTGATTCCACCAGTGTCCTTGGTAAGTTTAAGCCTTGTCTTTCAAAAAAAAGCTAATTATAAAGCTGTACGTGAGAAGCCAGCTATATGTCGCAGGCGACCTAATGATACTTCCGCCGTTCAATTGTGATGAAGTGTTTTCTTTCGTGTACGGTAATTGTGACTGCTCGTTTCGGAACAATTTTTGCAAAGCTGCTTGCTTTAACATTTGCACTTATCATGTCGTATCAAACTGTTTGCGAATACCAGTTAAAGCAGTACATAAAAAGGGAAAAAGACGGCCGTTGCGCACAGGATCGTTATAAATTGCAAACAGTTGATCCCGCATTTTGTTCTTCTGTTTAATTTGACACAAATCCAGAAGAACATTCTGTTTATTTTGACACAAATCCTCTAAACTAAATGAAGGAGCCACCACTTTAAGGCAGCAGCCACACACAAAGGGCGGAACTCCCAAGTCAGCCATCAATTTATTAGCATTTAGGAAGCTTAGAGGGTTGCGGGGCCAAGATGAGATTTTCAGGCTGGGGAGCCCCTACTAAATCTGCAAAGTTTTATAACTAACAGGCAATGGGGTACTTAGAAGTCGATACTTAGAAGTGGACAACTAAGCTGAAGGTGAAGGACAAAATAGTAAACACCAAGGGGCACTTTGGGAAGCAAAAGCCTCTTTTGTGCAAAAACTGCCGGCAACCGGTGAAATTTTCTGACTATAAACAAAAAACATTAAAACATTCAGACTGAAAGAGGGCAAAAAGCTTCCAAGACAAGGTGGCAAGTTCGAAAGAATGGGGCCCATAAGTTGAATGCACTTATGCGCAGATCTTCTGCATGTTGTATCCTTTTGATCCTCTGTGCAACAAGGCAAATGAAGGCAGAACTAGAAAACAAACATTTTCAGTAGGGGCATATCCCTTGCAGCCGGAGGTTCTGCCGAAGAATTCATTGCGGATTGGTGCCAGTCCTTGAGAGCCAAAGTTGCAGCTACTGACTGATTCAAGAAAGGTGAAACCTTTCTTGAGGCTTACTTGGATTCTACCTGAGTGATTTATGAACATGTATTGAGCCTGTGATCCACTTCTTTGATAAAATTTCTAGTTTTCTGCATGCAGTTGCACCTACGAAGCCAGAAATCAGGCTGGTTCCAGTGCCCCCAACATAAAATGGCGCTAAATGATAGGTGCTTACTAAGGGGGGTTTGCAACGGGATATTTTGGCTTGTTTGCCGCTATTCGGGTCCTCTGGACGTCTCCTCATGGCACTGAACCCTAAACCCTAAACCCTAAACCCCAAACCCTCAAAGCAGTGGCGACAGACTCGGCACCGCTGGAGCTGCTGTACAGGGAGCACGTGAACTCCTTGAAGTGCACGGCGGTTACTCGCTGTTGTACAGAGCTATGGAAGAGAAGAAACTAAACAATTCAGAACTTCGGTCTTTGAAGAGCTGCCTGAACACACTTGATGTTCTGCGGCTTGGGGAAGCGCCCAGACAAAGTGAGGAACTCTAGGACACCTCTGGTGAGCTCTAAGCACTCTGTAATCTCAAGCACTCTCTAACCTCATATATACTGCTGAAGGAATTACGCAGAGTAAAACAAATCACTAGTTGCCCCCGCAAGTCCCAGCAGTACGAAATAGTCGGTGGCAGGACACATTAGAGAAAAGACAGCAGTAGGCGAGCCAAGGCTTCTGCAAAAGGACCTTTAATGAATTTCTGAAATTCAAAAATAATTAAACAGCTGTGAGGAGGACACCGCCAAACTAACCCACAGCGCGTGTGCGTTCTGTGCCAATTCAAGTCCTAGAGAGAGTCCTGAAAACAGTCCCGGACTCCTGTCCTGCGTCGGCGGCGAGTATTCCATGAAGAACTTCAATTATATTTCCAAATTAGAAGGCCAAAGTTGTACGACAGGAGAGAATAGCTGCAGTTGTTGATCTGGAGGAGGTCACTTAGCATCCATGCAAAACAGCTGCACTCCAACCTGCAGTGCAAACGCGGGAGCCAACTTGCAGCAACGAAAAGGCAATGTTGATATTTATATTGAATTAAAGTCAAAACGTTTTACTTTTTCATGTAAATTGAGGAAAAGTCGGTCCTTTTCTGGTACGATCTGGCCCACTTCCGTGCCTCCTAGCTGCTGTGGCAGGCGGAGCGTGAAGCACGCACAGCGCAGAACCTCACCGTAGATTCTGAGGATGCAGTGAGCTGCAGCACAAGATTTTGTGTTTGTATTTGCTATAGTGCATTAAAGCAAGAAACTTGGTGGCTTTTTGGGGAAATATGTTTCTAGAAACTTCCTAAGGCCCCTAAGGCGAGCTGTATTCCGCTCAGTCCACCCATACATGGATGTAGTCCATACGTGGATATCCTAACTGCTCATATGAATGCACAATCACTTATTGGTATCCAAAAAACAAAAAAGGACATTTAAAAATACAAGTTACCAATCGTGTTCTGACATTGCACCGATTTAAATGCTGATGTTTACGACGTCACTGCCACTGCCCGCTACGGTTCCCTGAAAACCTGCAGGGGCTCTTAGGCCTTGCCCGAGACTTGAGCCCGTTCATAGGTGATTATTGTCAAATTGACAATTAAAACCAGAATACTAAGTTTGGAAAGCTTTGGGTTTTGTCTGTGCGCCGCAGCGCAGTGCCGCGCACCACGAGGCTTCGGAACAGACTCCGGCGCAGCTCAAAGCCCACTCACTCCTTTAGGGGCCTGCGAAGCTGCAAAGTGATTAAATCTGCAGTGTCTGCGTGGCGCAGCAAATATGCAAGTCTTTGCTGCTGCCAGCCACAAGCCAGAGGCTCAAGGTTGCCTGGGCCTGCAGGCTGTCGCCAGCCCCAGTGTCCGGGTTTCCCCGACTAAGGGGGCTCTTTTTTGCGTCTTTTCCCCTTTAACACAATTCTAAAGTTTTATTTCAGCATTTGGCACTGGAAAATTGCATATTTGTGTTGAAACGACACTCAACACTGCCAAGCACTGGATGACCGGAGGCCCGTCGATTCCCGTGCCAGCCGATCCTCGCAGTGAGCTGCCAGGGGCACAGCAGCTCTGCTGCTGCCCACTGGCGTTATTGAAACAAGTTTTTATAATTTTTTATTCATTAGAGCGAACAGCTTCCTTCTGAGGCTCCAATTGATTGGTCTTAAATGGATGGTCACCTTGCGCGCACAGGGACGGCGGTTTCACTGATCCGGCGCTGCTCCTGCAGCAGCTGCAGCAACAACAACAACAGCATCAGCAGCAGCAGCTTCTACTCCAGATCCTGCAGCGGCTTCGCTGCTCCTGCGCCCCGAAACCCCAGACACGCGCAGCAGCGTTTTGCTGCTGCTGCCGTGGCTTTGCAATGCGGCCTGCAGGCTGTTGGACTTTTCACAGAGATCCCCGCAGCAAATTAGCCCTTCTATTTCTGTGGCTGTTCTGCTGCTCTTGTGGCACACTGGCAGCAACACCAGCAGCAGCAGCAGCAGCAGCAAGGAGGCTGCGAACAGTACCCCTACGTAATGCGTCTGCTGCCGCTGCTGCTGCTCCGCCCCAGCTCCGCCCGTGGGCCAGCGTTGGAGTGGACACGCGTCTCCTGGAGCGCAGCAGCAGCAGCAGCAGCAGCAGCAGCGGGAACCTGCAGCTAACTGCAAATGCACCGGCCCTGCAGCAGAGCTTCCAGCCAACAAAACGGCGCTCTGTGTCTGTGGGGCGGGGCTGGCTAGCAGCTGCTGCTCTTTGCATCTTTGCAGCAGCTTATTTGGTGCTGCGCTGCTCTCGTGCTGCAGCTGCTTCCGCGCTGCAGCAGCAGCAAGGGCTTGCTTCGCGTGAGCTAGCTGGGGACAGGAGCAGAGAAGACGGCCACGGCGAGAACGCCGGCAGAAGCAGCAGCAGCAGCTGGGACTGCTTGGGGCCGGGGTATGCCCCGCCAGCTGCTGCTGTTGCTGCTGCTGCTGCAAATGCTGTTGCTGATCTTGCAGAAGCTCCTGCTATGCCTGCAGAAGCTAATCTTGCGGGCACAGAGGACGGCGCTGCTGCTGCTGCAGGAGGCGGTGCTGCTGCTGCTGCAGGAGGCGGTGCTGCTGCTGACGCTGGTGCTGCTGCTGCAGGAGGCGGCGTTGATGCCGCTGCAGGAGGCGGCGTTGCTGCTGCTGCAGTAGAGGGCGCTGCTGTTGCTGCTGCTGCAGCAGACGACGTTGATGCTGCTGCTGCCGCTGCTGCAGAAGGCGGCGTTGATGTTGCTGGCGCTGGCGCCGCCGCTGCAGCAGGCGGATTTGATGCTGCTGCAGGAGGCGGCATTGAAGCTGTTGCTGCAGGAGAGGGCGCTGCTGTTGCTGGTGCTGCTGCTGCAGCAGGAGGCAGCGCTGCTGCTGCTGGTTGGAATGACAGGGCTGGGGGGTCGGATGTTCCTGCTACTGCAGCAGATGCCGGCGCAGCAGCGTCTGCTGCAGCAGCGTCTGCTGCAGCAGAAGCTGCTGCAGCAGAAGCTCAAGAAGCGGCGCTGGAGAGGCGCGCAGCAGCAGTGCTGCGGCAGGCGAAGCGGCTGATGCTGCTGGGGGGGCGGATGCTGCCGCTGCTGCCGGAGTGGCAGCAGTCTTCGGGAATAGTTGTGCTGCTGTCGCTGGTGACGCAGGAACTTGCTGCGCTGCGCTGCTTGCTGGGGCCGCTGCTGCAGCAGCAGTACCGCGCAGCAGCAAGAGCTGTTGAACACGAAGGCCGCAGACTCGTGCGGCGCTGGAAGAGCAGCAGCAACTTGACGGGAATGGTGCGGCGGGCGCGGCGGCTGCTGCGGGTGCTGCTGCGCTCCGCAGAGCTGGTGGCTGCAGCGCCGCCGCCGCAGTACGGCGCGCAGCAGCAGCTGCTGCTGGAGACCTTGGAGTCCAGCAGCTTCGTGCTGCAGCGCTGCAGCGACGTGCTGCTGCTGCTGCTGCCCTGGACGCAGCAGCTGCACGAGGCCAAGTACTTCGCTGCTGTCTGCCGCAGGCAGCGCCTCAACAAACTCGGGCTGGCCTCCTGGGGCGGCTTCGCGCCTGCGGAGCTGGGCACTTCCATTGCGCACTTTTTGTCCAAAACGAGGTCTTGTCGCGGCTATTTTTTTGCATCTTTTTTCTTCATTTATGAATTCTTTGCTCTCTGCGAAAGAGGGGCCAAGCAGGGCGTTCTGACGTGGCGAACCCACTCAGTTCCGCACGTCGACAGCTGCCCGCCGCTGCAGCAGCAGCTGCAGCAGCACGTCGCAGCAACGCTGCCGCAGCTGCGCAACCTCCTCAAGACCTTCCACAGCGCCATCTTCGCAGCAGCAAGAGCTGCTGCTGCTTCCCGAGACGTCCGCTCCGCCAGTTTGCTGCTCGCCGAGAGCCAGCAGCACCGAAGGGCCTGGGGAGTTCCCGAGGAAACGCTTGCTGCTGCTGCTGCTCTCGGCGCCAGCAGCAACACTTTGAACTTTCTCCACCGCTGCCTCGTCCCACGCACCGTCAGAGCCGCTGCTCCTGCTGCTGCTGCTGAGGGCGAGGAGGAGGAGGACTATGCAGCTCTTCCTGCTGCTGATGATGATGCTATTGCTGCTGCTGAAGAGGAGGAGGCTGCTGCAGCGCTCTATGAGGGGCC